AAGACTCTCATCACAGTAGCTCACACTGATGGCAACTATCTAGGCAGGTCGTGGCTCGATGTCGTCAAATGCATCTCCCAGTTAGAATTGGCGCAGCTGATAGGTACTGGAGTACGGCCACAATTGCTGGGCTCACCGTCAAAACCGCACTTTCCCTCGCCATTGGCGAATTTCGGTAATCTCGCACACTCTGCCAGTTCGCACCAGACCAACAATCTCAACTTGAGCTCGTTGGACCCCAGCGTGAAGGAGTCCATCGGTGAAATTAAAATTCCATAGATACACACGTTTAGAAATCGGTGTACAATCAATATATGAAGATGTAATGTGTGATACTAATAGAGAGCATACAGTACGTGCCGTATGTGAGAGCTTTCAACCAGCAAAAGATGCTGAATTCAAGGTGATAGCTCACATGATGCCGGATTTACTAAATGTCGATTAATTTACCAAATAATTACTACGTTTACGCGTTATTATGTAACATTAGCAAAGACTGAATCAGATTATACGTAAAGTGTGGCTTTATCTTTATTTGTAACTCTATTGTACAATTTCACAGGACATCGAAAAAAAAGAAACGTTTAAATATTCTTTATGTCACACGTGCATGAAAAGTGGCCTATTACGCACGCTACACGCGGCGTGATAGGTCAATTTCCACGCACTTGCAACATAAAATAGGGTATGCAAGCCGTGCTGGAACTCGCCTTCGGCTCGTGCGTCAACTCCGCACCCGTGAATTTTCATCTTCCAGCACGGCTTGCACAAATAACTAATAATTTATGTGTAAACAATAAAGAACTTATAGAGATTGATAACCATTTAGCAGGATAAACTGTGTTGGCGTACTCTTTCTACATGCGTACCTTCCCCAAGAGCCGAGACTCGAACCAGATCCGTGAAAAATATCGCCACTTTCGTTGAGTTTTTGTACAGTTTTACTCTAGGAATATCGCGAGAGAAAGAAAGATTTTTATCTGAATCGATCGACATAAAGAGAGAGATATAGTAAAGAAGCTAGCTTTCGAGAATTTAAACGCATAATACTTTGTTATACTATGAGCGAATTAGTTTACGTCACTCTGTCAAACTTTAATATTAAATTACTAATAATATATCGATATCGGTAGTATAATAATAATACATTTAAAAGCGCTCAATTTAAAAGTAGGTCCTCTGCAAGATGGAATTATATGAGTCACAAACTTAATTAGCAACTATCGCTTATAATTGCAGGCTTATTGGTCTGTATATTTATTTATTTCACTATAAAATAATGTTCAAAACGTTTATATTAATTCTGATTGCAGACGGACCTTCGGGAACACTAGCGCCTTCTTCTTTTAACATGAATAACTAAAAATCTATATTTCGGCTAATTACCGAGTTTATAAATATTTAATTAAAATTATCTGGGTGACTCACAAACCTTTTTAATCACACTTCATAACTCTTCATATGAAATACAAACGATTCCGTATAAAAACTTTTATTAATTTATCTATTTCGGCTAAATGCATGGTGTAAAAATAATTAATTAATTACAATTAAACGAATGACTCACAATACTCACAAACCTTTTCAATTGCACTTCAAAAGTCTTCATACGAAATACAAACGATTTCATATGGTAGATTCTTTCCCGGACATTCATTTCCGGTCAAATACATACGAATATAAAACCTGAGGACAAAATCGGTCCTTTTCAGGGCCATAATAATGTGCAAAATCCGATCGCGCAACCTTCTTGCGGTGCACATTGGATAATGCTAATGCCGACGGTTCATACTGTTATTACTGTTAGTCATCAATACATTAGGTTATTAGGTTTTATGGGTTATGCAATACACACACAAACACACATAATCATTACTCTGACAGCTGAATGGGTAAAATCATCTGTGATCGCGTGATAAAATATTTATCTTTGAGGTCTCCTGGAGCTAAAATACTGCTTTAAAGAGAGTTGTTGCCATGAAAACTTTTGATCAGGATGACATAAACAACATATTCCCAAAGTTTCAGACAAATTCGCCGAGAACCCATTTCCATAGGTTTTTGTGCGGGGTCCTTTAGAACACAAGATACATTTAATGGACGATAAGTGGCGATTTAATCAATTGGAGAAATTATCTGCGAGATCATCCGTATTCAAAATTCGGCGAAGGCAACAGAGAGACATTGGACAAAATACCGAAGGAGAAAAACATTAACATTAGAAATAAGCTATTAGAATTTTATGAGACATATTATTCTGCAAATATTATATCGCTGTGTATTCTTGGCAAAGGTACGGAGATAATTTACAAATAACTGTTTATGATTAAAACAAAGTGAATGTTTTTTTATACTTTCCAAAATATTATATCCAAAATATTTGAATTTTTTATTTGTACTGAATGATGATCAATGAAATATTGGTAAATGATGAATTAATGTACCTCTTATAATTAATTAGTATATTAAATATTTACACATTATCTTATCTTCCAAAAAGGAGTCAAAGTCTTATCAATACATAAATGAGAAAAATATAGAGAAATGTTAGTCTTCATAAATTACTACGTAAAATTTCAATTTCTTTCTATAGATTCCTTTTAACTAGTGTATAATTATTATAATCAATATTTTTAAATAAGGTCCGAGCAAAATTTGGAATGTCAATTTGTAATTCAGTGTAAAATATCCCGTATAGTTATTTTTCTGACTTCTGAATAAAGTAAAATCTTTTGCCATAAACAGACTTAATAATAATGTCTGTTACATAGTTACATAATTATTATATATGTTATATCAATAAATAAATTTTTTGTTTAGAGAGTTATTAGATGAACTCGAAGAAATGGTAGTAAAACACTTTTGTGGTGTGCAAAACAAAGAAGTTGAAGTTTCTGAATGGCCTAAACATCCATTTAATAATGAACACTTTGGCACTAATATGCTACTTTGTTCCTGTACAGTATATCATAAAATTATACATTTCATTTCCTTTACCTGAAATGCAGCAATAATACCGGTCTTCAGTAATATAATATACTTTTCTATATTCTATTAGTCCTGATGCTTTATACGAATAGTCAGTTATTTTCAAATATAATTATATATATTAATACATATAACGTACACACGCACGCACATACACACACACCCACACACGTATATGTATCAGTACATCAATATGCTGAAGTTAGAAGGCCCGAAAAAATGGATCTACAATATAATTGATAAAATAAAATATAATATAACGTAGAATGTCTGGCAAATGATAGTATCGCAATTCACCAGACATCTTGCATTTTAACATGGTGTATCATATAAAGTAACGCAATTTTACATTTGCAGGAATGTAAAGATATGGCGAATATTGATCTTCGTTATACCGAAAAGTTGCGCCTCCTATCGATATGATTTCTACAGCCAAGCGCTGCAAACGTGTCCCTTGGACGAAATTATTTGGACGCAACGAGTTTACTGAGTGGCGACTGGACTTGATCAAGGAGATAATAAATATTTGACGCCGCAAAATATCAGGATTTATGTTGCCGCAAAAGAATACAAAAGTACAGAAAATGAAACCGAAGAATGGTATAAGATTAAATATAAGAAAGAGAACGTATCCAAACAAACAATGGACATGTGGAATCTTGCAGGCTATAATACAGACTTTAAATTGCTTTCTAAAAATAAATTTATACCGACCAAATTTGATCTCTCAAGTCAAACTAATGTAATTTAAATTATCAGTTTTTAATTAACCCTTAATGCCACACCTTTCAAGAATCTCGTAAATGACATGAAGGGTCTAAAAGACCCCAGCATGAAAAATGTCTCCTTACTCATTGATTATTTGATCTTTAGTTATGAAAATTTTTTTCAATGTTGTTCAAGGCTTAGAAAAGAGAATAAAATGCTTATATTGTTAAAATTCAATTTCAACATAGTATAAAAAATTAAGTAAACTGAGTACTGCTAATGTACAAACGGGTAGGTCAATCACTCAACTATCATCAATGGGAGCATGAGCTCCATTTTTTGAAAGAACATTTGAAAATATATCATTGTAAAGGGTCTGGGGTCTGCTGGACCCCACGGGGCATTTAAGGGTTAATATAGCTTAAAATTATAATACATTTTATTCTTATGCAAATTTTTTGTTGTAAGATAAGAATAATTATGGTGTGCTATTTCGCTATTTGAATAAATATTTCTGCGCTAACTTTGTAAAAATGAACTCTGATGATGTTTAAAGAATTGTTTCTTCTAATGGTCTGATATTCATATTAAAATCATATTATGAGGTAAAAGAAATTAATAAATGAGAAACAGATTACACAATTTATTTCAATCCATACAGAAAGCAGATATTTGGAAACATAAGAGAAAATTATTTGTTATAAATGTCACTAAGCCTTCCTTTAAATAAAAAATCACCTACTAAATTAATATAAATAAATAATATAAATAATATAAATAAATAAAAGAATAAACAATAAGATATATTTCACGAATATGTCACAACAAGAACAGGCCAAGAACAAAAATAGGTATTAAATTTTTTAACTTTCATCTAAACTATTATTTTTTTCTATTAGTATTCTTTAGTACTGTTATCTTGAATGCATTCTTAACTGACTTATGATAGCTGATCGTAAACTTTAGATTATCTCTTTATGCTCTCTATTCACGAATTATATATAAAATTTACATTTACAATATATTCTCCTTTTTTCTTTCTACATGCGTCATGCATTGCCAGCATGTACAATTTGAGTGCATTGTAACTGCACTTTTGAATCCTTATAAATTACAAAAGGAAAACAAACGGAGCTAGGAGAGAAGAAAATTATAATTATAAAATTTATCGGAGCTAGAAGAGAAGAAAATTATAATTATAAAATTTATCTCCACAATAATCAAGTTCTGAGACGTCGCCGCGCTGGAGTCCGGAAATATCGCGGGCTCTCGATTGGGTCGCGTTCGGGATCGATAAAGTCGAGCCCGCGCACAAACTCGCGTCGCATGTCGCATGCGAATTGCGAACGATTCCGAATATTCCGATCGGCTGCTACGCTACGCTTACGGACAGCTACGGAGTACGGAGTACGGTTCGTGTTTGGCCGTCAAGGTCGAGATGTCGGCGACGATGACAGCCAAGCTTCAGGACGACATGAACAGCATACCTCTGGCGGACGACGATCCTCAAGGTGAGAACTTAGAGCCGTCTGATTTCGCGATGCCTCTCAGCGACCGCTCGCTCGTCATTGACGAATTATAACCTATAAATAAAAACTCGTCTTGAGCCACGAAGATAAGAAGAGTGTTCCCTGTGCTGTATGACTCAAAGGCTGCGTTCCTTTTGGGCGCTCACGCGCTCACACGCGCTGTAAGCATCATTCTATCTTCGTTGCACATCGAATATCAAACGAAGATAGAGCGATGCTTACAGCGCGTGTGAGCGCGTGAGCGCCCAAAAGGAACGCACCCAAAAAGGAGTCGAAGGCACTAACCTCTCATCTCCGAGGGGAATCTACAAACTCTTTACTTGTCCTGAGCAGTTTATTTTATTCCGATATTTTATTCCCTCATCCCGAATCTTATGTTTACTTTTATTGACAGTGTGAAAATTGAACCAGTTGCATTCAACAATAAATTAGCAATGGTAACGTGACGTTTACTCCGTTTCTCGATTTTGACGCTGAAACGAGAGATATTAGATCGTTGGATTACTTATCTCGCAAATTATTTAGCTTAGAAATTCTTAATCGCGTTTGCACATTCTATGCAATTTGCTTGTACTTTGATAATGAGAAGCCTCTAAGCCTTTTTTCTGATTTCTGTTGTTGTGGAGTAACACCTTACTAAGGTTATTTCTCGCTATTATTCATAGTGATAATACCAGAAGAGGAAATCTTGGACAATGCCTCGCATATATCTGATCCGCTAGGCAGAGGACGTAGCATGGATTCTCTTCCATCGACATTTACCAATGGAAGCTGTAGTCCTAACAGTAAGTGATATTACTGATTTCTTTCCTCATTATACATATTTTTTGTATTGTTTATCTTTCTAAGTAAAAATGTACGAAGTAATATATTTTTTAATTATATATTTTTAAAGTGAGCATTAAGTGATTGTTAAGAAAAATTTTGATTTCTATTATCAAAATTATTACATACATAAATAATATTACATGAAAAATTACAACAACTTTAGGAAAATTTCTTCTTTTATATAAGATTATAATACTATTGAGTTATGATGGTTTATGTAAAAGGATTTATGTTAATCACAGGCTTAGATCCAGATATTAGTCCAGATGAGCAAGAAGAGAAAGCTAGATTGATTGCACAGGTTCTTGAACTGCAAAATACTTTAGATGGTATGTATATTTTTCAGTAAAGGTGAAGATTGTAGAAGAATATGTCTATTGGCACTTCTATAAGTGCAAATACATGTGTTTTATCTAGATCTGTCACAGAGAGTGGATAGTGTGAAGGAGGAGAATCTCAAGTTGAGAAGTGAGAATCAGGTTCTGAGCCAATACATTGAGAATTTAATGTCAGCTTCGAGCGTGTTTCAGTCGACAAGTCCCAACACCAAGAAGAAGTGAACCCGTATTGATTAAATAAATTAGACAATTCATGAACAAGCTACAAGTCGTAAATATGAGTGATCTTGAAGTAATTGTGATTGTTTTGAGTGTTTTGGAAAGTATGTGAATGCGCATTTAACTCTTTATTGCCCTCGTTCAGCTAACAAACGTCAGTGTCCTCGTGTTAGCCTTGCGCCGCACTTGTATGTATTGTCACTGTATTATAGTGTGATGTTGCCACATAGTTTTCTCAGATCAAGTACCACTTTCAACATCTGTTAAACTCTAACCGACTATTGACTGTTCAGAATAGTCAATAGAAGTTGGCTATTCTGAAAAATTAATAATCGATTAAAGATTAACAGACATTGGAAATGGTGACCTCTAAACATAGTTTTGTATGAACAAGAGGATGAAATATCGACCGGTACATCAATCTAAAACAATAAAACTTGCATTTGGTAACAGCATGAGTCACGTTGACTCTACGTATTTGCTCTTGACATGAGCGCTGCGCATAGATATATCACACATTATCGCACTTTCAAAGTCTAATCTAAAAATTGTACTAACAAAATTTTGGAAAATAACTATACAAATATAACCTAAAGGATTGTGAATAAAAAATCAAAAAAATGATAGTCACCTCTTATGCCATATCTATGCAATTAAAGAAATAAGATGTGATGTTAGCGCTTGCCTAACACGAGGGCAATGAAGGGTTAATTACGATTTACATTTAACAAAAAATACCACAAAAGTTTTTAAAGTATTATTCAGTATTTCGTGATTAATTTGCCAGCTTGTGTGTACTTTCTATGAAAAAAAAAATATCTCTCTGATAATCTACTTTTTCCAGTCAGATATAATCAACCATCTTTTTTAAAACGTATAAGACTTTATAATGCATTCACTGTGACTTGAAACACGCTTATATATTTACGACTGTATTCACCAAAGAGATCCATTTTATACTTCTATAATTTTTATGAAACATAAACGCTTCGCAAATTTTCGAAAGAAAAATGTTAAATAACAGTTAATTATTTTAAATATAATTTGCTTAATTTTTTAAATTTAAGACTAGGTTAATTTTTACGAAACTAATGCACATAATAATACTAATAATATATATTTGTTATCCTGCTGGAAATAGTAACAATCTAGTTCAAGCATTGTTTAAAGTAAATAATATATGAGGCTAAGTAATAATATTTCTAAATAATTATATATTTATCTCTTTTTCATTTTTTATTTAACATACACTGTTAATCTTAATTAATAATTTTTTTTACGTACAATTACTAATTAATCTCTCTTTCATACATTTGCTTCTCGCATTCGTATGCTTTTTTAGAAGTTTGCTCGAAATGCATACGTTACGTCTGCAAAATTGGATATTAAAATGTTCAAAGCCATATACATATTTTATCGAGGTATTTGCTTTTTAATAGATAATTCTTGCTTGTAAAATTTTGACGTACTTATACATATATGCATTGTATGTAGATGTATAAAAGAAATGTATAAGATTATATACAATTGCAATACGTTATAATTGATGACATATATTACGAAAAGCTGATATTCGTTCGTACGTTATAAGCAAGATGGCTAGATAAATTCTGCTATTTACGAAAAGACTAACTGATACGTATGCGATCATCTTGCTTGTAAGCGTATCGATTTGACGATTGGCATTATAATAATAAATATGTATTTACTGCGAATAAGAAACTGCGACTTGCGATGGAGTTTCAGTTAGAGGGCACAAGCAGAATGCACAATCCTAAATTATTCCATTGTTGAGTAACACGGTGTTATAATAAACATTATATTCTATTGGAACGTTACTGTTCGATGATTATCGGTTCTTCGTTTGACTGATTTTTTCCTTATTCCTAATCGTGCGACGTCATCTCTGCTCATAAAGCACTCGTTCATTACCGCCCTTGACTTCTTTCCAGGAAAGTTTACGCAACGAATGAAATATTGGAGATAAGAAGCATGTTCTGTAAAGCGTGTCTATATCTTGAAAGTTTCGATTAATCCTCTTGGATAGCCGAGAATTGTATCGCTTTTTGTCCCCAAGATGTTTTTGGTCCCGGCTTTGCTCGTCCATTTTTCTTTATTCCTATCCACCATCCGTAGTGTACGTATTTACGCGATCGGAACGCATCGTAGGCACCAATGCTCCACTGTTCCCATTCGGTATTGTCGTTAGTCATATTCATCTGAAATCAAAATTAATTAGACAAGTCGGATTTACAATCAATCTTAGTCATTTTTTAAATTCTTATTAATGGACGTCTTGTGCGAGAGACAGTTTCAACTAATGTGATTAAGCGAAATTGATTATCCACCTTTAAACAAAATTGTTCTTTAATAATTTTACAACTATTAAATTGACAATTGCGAATATATATATTGCCGATTATTATATTTACTATTAAAATAAATATTATATTTACTATAAAAATCTATGTGGAAGATTCCGCGAAATTATTGTGAGAATTAGGCCGCTGTTATGAGGATAAAAGCGTCCAACGGAATTTCACGCGGAACTGTGTAGAATTTCATAGAGTGCTATATATAAAATTTTGCAGATGTGGATAGTATATCACAATGGATTACGCTTCATATTTCTGTCGGTTGTGAAAACGTCTCTCGTAACACGAGTGAATTTTGCAACGATGAAAATTTGCAGAGAAGCCAAATTTATTCACTCGTTTCCACATTATTATATAGTTTACATATTATTCCCTTCCCGTATCTCACCTCTCCGTACAATCGCCCTTTCTTGTTGAATGCCAGATAGAGCCTCGTTTCGACGCTTTGTATTCTGATAACGCCAAAAGACACCGGTGTCGCGTGAAGTAGAGCTGCAGAAGTATATAAGCTCTTCTTACAATAAAAATCTTAATAGCAATCATAGTTGTAGTTGTTAGACATATGTAACACATCTGTACCTTGGAGGCAAAGAATCGTATCTCATCCATTGTTATGATTTAAGAGAAAAGGTTTAAAGTTTTAAATCGAAAAATGATATATTTTTTTTATATATAAAATAAAAGTGGCAACTTGATTTATTAAGTTTTTAACAAAGTAATTTAACTGACATGTTTAATAGTACAACTGCGCCAATAACACGCTGTACCTGGTTTAAAAATTAGGTAATATAAAAATTTTCAATACGATTTTTTCTAAACGTTATATCTTAGGAACTAGTAATAATAGGCTAGAGGCATAAGACGCTTTACCATTATACAATTTAAGCTGTTATATTGAAAAATGTATTAACTCCATTTTAACAAAAACTGGAGATACGATTCTTCACCTCTAAGGTACAGATGTATTACAGGCGTTTATTTTAGTTCAGTTAATATTTAACAACAGTGATGGAAGTACCATACGATTCCTCATTTCCAGATAATCCTTTGACCCGTCTCGACGGCGTAATCGCCAAATGATACCCAGTGCGGCAGTAGAGCTTAATTATCCGGCAATTATAGATAGGATTTTTCGCTGGCTGTCGAGGATCCCATATTACGCAAGGCGGGTACTTGCGTGATTTGGAGTTACGTTCAATGTTGCGTGGCGTTCTACAATTGCAATTAGATAGTCCATAGATTACCAGCCCATACAGTTACGTATTACGTAACGTGGACAGAAATAGAGAATAAATCTGTGTATTTCTAATGTGGAAAAACTTCGTCGAAGGATAGAAAGATCGTTAATTTGTAGAAGCATTGATGATAACGAATTGATTTTATTAATACGATAGACGTAAAATTATACAGAAGACAACGAATGTTTAGTACGCTTTGAAAAAATATTCTGTTAGGCATTAAATTTCAATAAAATACTAACAATAATTATCTCCCACTGATAATTAACAGAAAATGAAATGTTTATGCTAATTTAATATTTTATCATCTTAATATATTCTTTACATATTCTTGATCTTTCTTTTGGCGCGTTATACGTTCTTAAGCCGTTAGACGTTAGGGTTGTCTTTACTGCCACATAGGGTGTTCACGCTTTTATAGACGCTGCAAAATATATAGGTCGGCCGGTTTTCCAGGTCAGCAAGCTCCGTGAATGAAGCACACTACGCGACACCGTAGGCGTTTCTCCCGTACTTCGTTAATTTTAAACCGATTGTTGGGGGAGAGGAAACGAAATGTCAATAGGCTTTGTGCGGGAGTTACGCGAATACAACTTGGTCGCCATCAGAAGGCGTACGTTAACACGGTTAATTTTACATGGCTTCGCACAAGCCAAACATCACCCACAGGAGCCTTCTGTGTAAATAACCTTTATTTTTGCGCGAAAATATCCAAAGGCGTTAGGATATTCGAAGGAAATTATCAAAATTTGATTCGATAGCTTCTTTGTTTAAAAAACTGACTAATTTTCTTTCTTTGTTTCTTCTTCAAAGAGATTTGATGAGCGATATTGTGCCTACGAAGAATACACTGGAAAAAAATTTATTATTTGCAAGAAAATAGGTTTCTTTGAATTTAGTTTCCTTAATTTAAAGAAGTATTGGATAGATTTAAGAAAACATTTTTCTAAGTTTAAAATATTTTCTTGAATACCTAAAGCCTGATCTACAATGTGCTCTTTGCTTCCTGTTTTTTGCTCTTAACCTGTTTGCGACTATCCCGTATTTCGCAATTGCGTCGCGTAACGCGATGTTTTTTGTTCTCTGTCGCCCAAGATAAAGGCTGATCTACAATGTGCTCTTTGCTTTCTGTTTTTTGCTCTTAAGCATCGTCTACAATGGCCGTAAGAGTAGATGTAAGACGTAAGGAGTAAGCTACTGACCAACCACAGTCGATTATTCTTGAATTGTAAAAATCCCATTAGTCAATAGCTTACTCCTTACGTCTTACATCTACTCTTACGGCCATTGTAGACGATGCTTTAACCTCTTTGCGACTATCTCGTATTTCGCAATTCCGTCGCGTAACGTGATGTTTCTTGTCTCTTCTGAAGTTCGTCAATTTTTATCTTAGGCGACAGAGAACAAAAAACATCGCGTTACGCGACGCAATGGCGAAATACGGGATAGTCGCAAACAGGTTAAGGGTCGACAGGAGTAACACTACCGACCTCTGTCGGGTTGCTTA